TTCTTGCTCCTAGTAGTACGGCCAGGAGCCCCTAGTAGCTTCTTGCTGCTAGTAGTACCGCCAGGAGCCCCTAGTAGCTTCTTGCTCCCAGCAGTACGGCCAGGAGCCCCCAGTAGCTTCTTGCTCCTAGCAGTACGGCCAGGAGCCCCTAGTAGCTTCTTGCTCCTAGCAGTACTAGCTTCTTGCTCCTAGTAGTACAGCCAGGAGCCCCTAGTAGCTTCTTGCTCCTAGTAGCGAGGCCAGGAGCCCCTAGTAGCTTCTTGCTCCTAGCAGTACGGCCAGGAGCCCCTAGTAGCCTTGCTCCTAGCAGTACGGCCAGGAGCCCCTAGTAGCTTCTTGCTCCTAGCAGCACGGCCAGGAGCCCCTAGTAGCTTCTTGCTCCTAGCAGTACTAGCTTCTTGCTCCTAGTAGTACGGCCAGGAGCCCCTAGTAGCTTCTTGCTCCGAGTAGTACGGCCAGGAGCCCCTAGTAGCTTCTTGCTCCTAGTAGTACGGCCAGGAGCCCCTAGTAGCTTCTTGCTCCTAGTAGTACGGCCAGGAGCCCCTAGTAGCCTTGCTCCTAGTAGTACTGCCAGGAGCCCCTAGTAGCGTCCTTGCTCCTAGTAGTACGGCCAGCAGCCCCTAGTAGCGTCCTTGCTCCTAGTAGCGATCCCCTTCAAGACCCGTGAAAAGCCCTTTGGATTGCCCTTTTCGTCCTTTTCCCTTGCATGGGCCGCATAGGGGTTTTCCTGCGTTCTTGCTAGGAGCTTGTTCGCTTTGCTTGCTCTCCCGCTATTTCTTTTTGTGACTTTCTCCACAGTTGCCAGGACGATTTCTTCGTCCTGCAGACCAACACCTGGCTCTTTTGCGGAGTTTCTTGGCTGCTGACCCTTCGCATTTGTTGAAGCCCTTTCTATGATTCTATTGTGAGTCAAGGGATTTTGTCAGTTTGATTGCATTTGAGTGACGGCCTCGCAGAGCATTCGTGCTATGAAGGCAGAGGAGTAATAGCATAGAGGCAGGTGTCAGCCTTGGTTGGTTTAGATCATTCATGGATGCATTCAATTTTTTTTTAGTCACTTTTCGCCGCATGATTGTCTGCTTGGTGTTTGTTCACGCTCAACTGCCTTCACTAATTGTGTGTGCGCCTCAGGTTGCTGATGGTCATGGAGAGAACGGACACAAAGTGTCCCACTTTGTTCAGGCGTGGATTCTCGTGTTCAGTGACTATGGCAGTTGGAACATGCAAGTTGGAACTAGCCTGCAGTGGGGCAAGCACCAGGCAAGCATAACCTCATGTTTAATCCGTGTCAGTGTGAAGTCATTTGTTGGATTTCTGCATTCTCGTTCACGGGAAATGGCCCTCACAGAAAGAGTACATTGTCAGCTTTTTGAACCAGGCATGGGGAAGTGAATCGCTGCAGGAACAGTTGCCTCAAGCCGTGCTTCAACGACTGAAGACTGAGAACTTTACCAATTGGAGGACCACACCAGCCCTTTCTCGGCGACAGGTTCCCGCCTTTCTTCTCAAAAAGATGCGGTGAGGAGGTGGGAACTCGGTGTACGAAGTCTCTATGCATTGAACAGAACCGTTTGTAGCGTCCGATCGCTCCGTTCGTAGCGCCAGTTTCGCCCCGTGAACGTTGCGTCTCACTGAAAGACCTCCCAAGTCTCAGTGGCGGAAAGTGGCCGGAAGAATCCAGACCTCCAGACATACAGAGTTAGTCCTTAGTTTCTCTCATCGAAAATCCAACTGGCAGGTGGTAAATCTACATAGGGACAAAATTTCTTATGGGAAGAGTTCTTCTGCATTCCTACTCGTAGCTACTTGAGCTGCGACAGCTTACCTTTCCCCGTCCGCTCTTCATGGCCTACTGGATATCAATGAAACCGTTTCAAAAGTAAAGAAAAACAAAGGAAGAATCCATGAGCAGTCTCTGACGATACCAGGACCTCCGTGGTGGGAGCCGTCGATGAGGTCCAGAGCAAGCTGAAACTGCAAATCCCCGACGAGGCGGCCAGAGACAGAAATCCGACACGGTTGGCTGTCCAAGCGCAGAACGGAAATCTATTTTGGGATCTTCTTGCTCCTAGCAGTAAGGTCAGGTAGTAGCGTCCTCTGAATTGCTCTTAGGTTTTGTGATGTTTTGTGCTGGTGTAAAAGGCTCTTCCAACTGTGAGCCCTTTGCATGTTGCTCACGTTCCCTACATGTTTCTGGGGTAGGCCAGCTGAGGAAGTTTGTTGAAAGATCACACAGGTTCATTGATTCTATCAAGATTAGCTTTTTTTGGATCAGAAGCAGGATGCAACAATTCTAAATTGACTAAATTCCCGCTCCAAGACGCCACAAAGCCGTTGTTCTTTGCACAATTGTCCTCAGACAAAGACCATTTGTTCTTCCGGAATCTACGCTCTACTTTTGTGGCTGTTATTGCCAGAAGATCTGATAAATCAAAGCCATGGGACTATGCATGGGCTTCCCATTTGGGCCCTCTCCTACGGTGAGACCCACCGTGTCACATGGTTTGAGCCGCCGAATTGCGAGGCCACAGACTCTGGCAGTACGGCCTCCATGGTGTTTTTGTCAAAAGATCCCGAAGGCACGAGACGTCGAGACGCTGAGGAGCCCCGTTCGTAGCGTCCTTATACCAAAGAAACGACACAGTGTAGAAACAACATGGAGGAAAGATTCTGTTGACCTGGCACCATATGTATATCCCAGCCATGCAGGGTTCTCTTCAACCTTTTGTACTGACTTATTATGCGCTTTGCAAATGCACATGCGCCAGGCAAGTGGAAGCTCCAATCAACATTTATCGGTGATTCCATGATTGTGTGCGCCGAAAACGATCTGCCAAAACCATCGCTGCGTGGAGTCCAGACGGTGAAACCGAGACCATCGTTCGTCCACTGGACGACCGTCAGGTACGCAAGGCGCCCCAAGGAATCTCTCGAGTTTGAGGCACACCCAGCGAAAGCGTCGTTGGTTTTGGAACGAGAAGTCATGAAGCCACCTACCTTTAGCTAGTGACTCACGGCTGAGCTGATGAGAGAAACTGGAAAAGAACGAAACATCCCAGAAGTGTCAAACTCACGGTTTTCAAGCCCCGGCAAGTATGGGAAGCCCAGTCAGTCAACAAAATCAGAGACTGTGACTTGGAAACTCCTGCGAACAGGTTTGGACACTGAAGTCCAGAGGCTCCACTTTTCGGAGTAGGGGAAGTTCCCTGTAGGAAAAGGAAAACCGGTCTAATATAGTTTACTATTAGCTTCTTGTTACTAGTAGCGATGCCAGGAGCCCCTAGTAGCGTCCTTGCTCCTAGTAGCGATGCCCTTTGCTCCTAGTAGCTTCTTGTTACTAATATTTCTATTCATAGTCCAACCTCGATACATGTAGCAAGGATGCTAGGATGGAGCCCACGAAGTACATCCCATTCTGAGGTAGAGCTGGTAACATCCACACACCGACCAGATCGACAGGACGATGCTGGCTTGTGTTTCTTGGGTGAAACACGGCATGTCCGTCAGTGTTCATTGAAGATGTGGAGAGCTTCATTGAGTTCTTCTTTCTTGCGGAGGTTTTGCGTAGATGTACGACAGGCTAATGTAGATTTTGGCTCAGAGATTCCTGCTGGGCTGTGGGGCGTTCCCTTTCCACTGAGTTTGAGTCATGCTCATTTCGTTGAGGTGTGAATTGCATGCCCCTTTGCCACAAGTCCAGGACGAGTTCCAGAGGATTTCCCTTTCCAATGGACAGGCCGCATGGTGCAAAGACGGGCAATGCTGGTTAAGAATGGTTGAGAGATGAAGCGATACAGAAGGGCAAAGTGCTTCGGTGTTCAAGCATGAACCCTTTTTTTTTTCAGGTCATTCTTGGTGACGATCCGAGTGCTCCCAGCCGATTGTCGTGGACTTAGTCTTGCATAAACCCTGGCTGTTGATCTAAGAGCGATGGCCTCCAACCTGCTTTCAATCAGTTTGAGCCGAACCAGGGCCCCATGACACGATAAGCAGATTGGATTTCTCTAGCCCAGACACGACCCTGAGCCCTCATGTTGAACGGGTGTTTGAAGCAAGGAAAGAAAAGTGAGTTGCGTTTCTATGGTGTCTTTTTTCTTCTAGGCATGGAAATGGAAAGAATGCCGCTGCTTTCTGCTGCTCCACTCCATGCCAATACTCCGATTTTTTCCGAGGCGTGTGCCGGCGGGTGATATGGCCATGTCACGGGCACTGGGAGATCTTGATGCTCATCAGCCGGGAACTCATTCCAGTGACAGTGGTCGGAGTGGATGAATCCTAGACGCGCCTTTCGATGCAAAGACTGCTTTCTCTTCATGTTGGCATATATCGCGTTGAATTGCTATGCCATATGATGCGCAATGATGCCTCCGATGCCTCCGTACTTCTTTAGCTTGAGAAGTGAATCCTCAGGGACCAAACTCTTGACAGGCGAAGCTCTCGTTTTGCTCGCGGAGCGGGATGGAAGACATGCATGGCTAAAGACGTGCGTTTGCTAAAGCACAGGTGCACAGACGCATGATCTTCACTCTTCACTCACTTTGTTTGAGTTTCGCAAAGTACGCCTCCTCAAACAGGAGTCTAGGTTGTGGGTACCACCAATCTGGTGTCTTAGCTTGCTACAAAACAAGGAGCCAAGAAACCCCCTCACTGCTGGAAATGCCAAGAAACAGCTTACAATCTCGCTGTCTTGCATGATGCGACGGCCGTTGGGCTAGTGAAGCTCTAAGGTATGGCATGTCTTCCGAGCCGGAGTTCCCAGGTGAGTACTGCCTCCAGGAACCCATGCGACGCATCAGCCGACAGCACCTGAGCGCTGCCATGAACAAGCTGCCATGTTTCTTTGTGAGTGTCTAACTGGTAGTAATAAGCTACCAGTAGTAAGGCACCTTTGCTCCTAGTAGCTTCTTGCTACTAGTAGTGCAAGCCAAAGTTGTGAGAGGAATCAGGCCAAAAACGTCACCAGGACGAGGACGAGCACCTCATCATCCTTTGCTCCGACGGAGTGTGGGACATGATCAAGCCCCGCGAAGCTGCTTTCTGGCTTGAAAATCGTGTGGTTTTCTGTAGATTTTGCAGGCTTCCCCTTTCATGGAGACAATCCAAAAAATTAATAAACACTTATTTTGCAATTGCAAGTTTGATGGCACTTAGCTCATAGACTTAGAGGTGAACAGTTCACCCTGCCATCCTCCCTGAGGTGAACATTGCTGCAAAGTTCGAAGCGCAACGGGCTGCCGAGAGGCTGGCTGCCAAGGCTCAGAGCCGTTGGCAGGACACACCGAGGGCTGAGTGGCCGGGCCCACCAGGGCCCCCATTGGGGCCCACAATGGCAGGATTCTTTTCGTGGGATTTCTTTTGCAGAGATTGCATAGGTTTGAAGAGTCCCACTTGCTGGTGGTGGGATGCTTCTTTGCTGGCTTAGGGTCAGAACATGTGAAAGCATGGAAGAGAAGAGGAGCAAAGCGGCCACAAGAGTCCTACTGGTTAGAGGAGGACACGTAAAGGGTGTGGTGTGACCATGTGATGCGAGTGAGAATAAAGGGCCATGAGTCATGATTACTACCTTACGTGGCCTGCCCCTCGGTTCTCAAACGTGTGTTTACATGCCGACCGCCACTTGGCATGTTCTTGTGTCATCACTTCGGATGGTTACAGGAGGAGGGTGGACCACATGTCGACGACATCACGGTCATCGTTGTCAGGCCATTCCTTCAGGGAAACGAAGCCTTGCGTGAGGTAGAGAATGGTGCAAATACGTTGATTTCCGATGGCCAAAGCTAAAGCTGTTTGAAAATGTTGAAAGCGTGCCAGGGCAACGCCAAGTTCTCCAAAACGAAACCAATAGAAAAAAAAACAGAAATGTATTTGGTTGGAGGCCATGGCTGTTAGGTTGGAGGCCATCGCTAGTAGGTTGGAGACCTCATACACCTGGAAAGCTGTATTACTTCCGGAGTTGCAGACGATTCGTTGTGCCTTTCCTTTGTCAGGACGGGTGGTGAGTCGAAGCAACATGAAGCTCATGCGGATGCCTTTCCGAGCCGGGGCAGCCGACCCAACTCCTTCCGATAGCACCCAACCCCATAGGGCCGGCCGGTCACGGATGACTTTTGCTCGTGTGGCTTTCACGGATTCGGTATTTTTTCACTTTGTTCACAAGAATCATTGTTATTTTGGTGGTCGGTGCTATCCCAGTATTTTTCGATGCGCTGGATGAGATGCTCAAGCCGCATCAAGCCGCGACCCAAGCCACAAACCGTCAAATCTAGACTTTGCAGAAGCCCCAAGCCCACTTGGTTTCGGATTGATGTATCAAGCTTTCGGCACCGTAAAAAATGCTTCGGTGCTATTGGAACGTCAAGAAATGGCGAAAGAAGCATCCATGAAATCAGTGGTCAAAGGTAGCTGGCAACTTTGTTCTATTAGGTTGGAGGCCATTGCTAATAGATTCCTTTTGCTATTAGGTGTGGCAATTGTGTAAAAGATTGATCATGTGGGGGCATACATTGGCACAGTTGGGGGCAAAGGAAACCAGCATGGGCTTAGACCTTGAAGGCTGACAAATTGTGTACAAGAACACTTCTTGAAGAATGCTAGCAAAACTGTGTTAGCCTCAGGTGTTCGTGTCAACTCGATTTCAGCAGGTTAGAGATACTGTACTACTTGCTCTCGTCATGTGTGGATGCTTGCTCTCGCCCTTTTCAGAGTGAGCGACGGAAGACCCGAGCACCTCGAAAGAGGCAGCTTCGAGGCTTCCTCGATCAAAACTTGTTTTATTCAGCAGGGTATGCTTTATGGCGTTGAAAAAGCCAAGGATGGTGAGATTGGGTCAATGTTTCCAGCGATGCATCTCGCCCAGCTGTTGTTTGACCATGTTTAACCCTTTCTACCCTGTCCACGTCATTTGGTGTTGATTTTTATGGCTCAAGTTGGGTTAAGAGCAAGTATATATGTAACATATGTATATATACATCAGATTTTTGCTTTTGGAGTTCCCCCAGATACAATCCTTTTTAGAAATCGCACTTGGCTCCAAATGCCTGCAATCTACTTGTATGTTTCTAGAATATTTTAGCTTAGGAGTGGTTGTAGTATCCCTTTTGGGGGGAGGCTCAAGGCAACCTAGCTAGTTACACAATTGCTACACCAAGTGGCAAGAGGAACCTAATGGCAATGACATCCAACCGGATAGCGACGGCCTCCAACCTAGTAGCAATGGCCTCCACCCTAATAAGGGCCTCTTACCTACTAGCAATGCCATCTTACCAAATAGCAATGGCCTGCAACCTAGTAGCACTGTCCTCCACCCTAGTAGCAATGGCCTCCACCCTAGTAGCGATGCTGCTATCCTGATGGCCTCCCATCCAACGAATTGGCAGAAGTCTTTTTGGCCCAAGATGTTGGCATTCCGTCTTGGCCCGGCTCGGGCCACATCCATCGCACGTGCATCACGTCACTCCTCACCTCAGGTGCGGTCTCGTTTGCGCTTGCTCGGCTCGGCGCCGTGGCACTGCTCAGAGGACCTGGCCACTGGGAGCTTCGTAGGTCTCTCATTGTGGTCACGCAAGGCCAAGTCACGAAATCGGCTGAGTGGGAAGACGAGGAAGACTAGATTGATCTCAAGGCCAGCGGTAGAAGCGGCAGATGGAGAGGAATTGACTTTGGATCAGCTGAGGGTTCTTCTCGGAATCTCGATGTGTTTTTCCTAGTTTTCTTGCACGGTTGTTTCTTCTTGATTTTTCTTGCCGCACTCATGCAGGTTATGGCCATAGCTTGGTTAGTTTTCCGGTGTTCGTTGTACAGACACACTGAGTAAGTAGACAGTTCCTTGGGAAAGACTGAGGAGTTGCAGTGCTACTATGTGGAGCCAGCGGTTGCTTTCACACTCTTCCAGTCTTCATTGACATGAAGCTTGCCGCAGATCCGGCCTTGCCAGGTCTTACGGCTGAGACCTTGCCATGGAGTGCAACTGCCATCTTTGCGGGCTGGTTAGTGGGCTCCATCAGTCTCAAACAAGCCTTGGAGACCTTCAGCAAAGCACAATTTCTCGCCGCTTCGTCCGTGTTGCTTTGCTTGTCCACTCTCGCGACCGTGACTCTTCCACACCTCACAGGTGGAAACATTGTCGTCTTCTCAGCCGTGCGCTTTGTCACCGGGCTGTTGTTTGCCACAGGGCCAGTGGGAAACTTATATGTGCAGGACTGTTTGCCATCCAGCCGCAGGAATCAAGCCATGGCCTTCATCAACACTGCCTACTCAATTATGGCTGTTTTGATGGCCACCACTTGTGGAATGTTTCAGTCTTGGGATTGGCGAGTGGATGCCATGCTTTGGTGTGGTTTGCCTCCTTTGCTGGCCTTCTTCATCGCTTTCAACAAGCCATTCACACTTTTGAGCTCAATTCCTAGCACGCTGCGCTCCAAAGGCGAGTCCAGCGAGTCTAGCAAGTCTAGCGAGTCCGAGTTCAGCATGAGCCCATCCATCTTCAAAGCAGCGCTGCAACTAGGAGTTTGCTTCTTGGCTTGCGGCGTTGGTTCCTATGGGTTGAGCTATTCAGCTGGGAAGCTCTCAGAAAATCTCTACACCAATTCTGTACTACTCAATAGCGCGGACATTCTGGGCTACATCACTGTCTTGGGGGCAGACTTCTTGGGCCGAAAGACCTTTCAGACCGGAAGTTATGTCTTGGCTGCATTTTCCTTGTTGCTTTGTGGCATTTTGGAACCCGGAAGTTGGAGCATTGTTGCTTGCGCGATGGGTGGCCGGATCTGCTTGAACGTGGCATTCACCACGATCTACGTGGCTCTTGCGGAGGTGTTCCCCGAGCGCAGCCAGAAGAACGTCTTGCCCATTTGTCTCGGGGCAGCAACTAACTGAGTGAGTTGGTATGCCCCAGGTTTGGCCTTTTTACCTGGTGCAACCAGACTGGATTCTTGTTGGGCACGCTCGATTTAGATTTACTCAAAGAGCTGGAAAGGTAGTCGGCGCATTACAAAAACCGTCAGCAATACCACTCTGCTTCTCTACTCTGGACCACCTTCAAACCACTCTCCCCGGTAAAGCGCAACAAGAACAGCTACAGCCAAGCGAGTTGGACGGTTTCGCCCCAAAAAAAAAGGCTCAGCAAAGGCCATGGGGGCGCCCGATCCCCATAAAATGAGACAACCACAGTTCGGCGCCTAAGCTCAATCAAAACCTGCATGTTTGCCTACTCCAAAGTTTCACCCAAGCAAAGCCAGGTTGCCTAGCTTCGTTATCCCCCTGCTGAACTGACAGCTAGCTGAAAGACAAAGGAAGAAACGCAGACACTATCCACAAGGGGCCGTTCGCCACGCAGGGCGCCCGAGGGAAGCTTAAAAGAGACATTAATTAGTCGATCTCTTCGTAAGTATGGCTCTTTTCATCTAAGTTTTCTTGTTTTTTCCTCATGGCTTCCAGATTGCTGTTAGGTTGGAGGCCATTGTTTTCTTGTTCTTGTTCTTCTGCCTTGTTGCATCAACTTGCTTCACAGGTCAGATCGCTGCCCGGCTGGGCGGTATTTTGGCACCTTTGAGTGGCACCTTACCCGCAGCTGTCTCGTGCCCTGCCTTTGGGAGCGCGTGCCTTGCAGCGGCGCTGGCCACGGTCACAATGCCAGACAGGCTGCAGGAAAAGCAGGAGGCGGAAAGACAGCGGGAATCTTAAGAGAGATGGTGTTGGTTGGTGATGAAAGACTGAAAGGTTAGGTTTTGCCGGTGGCTGTGTTTTTTTTGGAAATAGTTACTCGCGTCACCGGGAGGTGTTGACTGTATTATTTGTTTCAGCCCAGGTGATTGCCAAGCTGAGGGCCGCAGCTTGCAGAGCTTTCGAATTACATTTCAGAATTTGGAGGCTTGGAATCATCCAAAGGGTGGGCTAAGCGTCAGAAAAAGCTGCGGCAAGAAGTCTCTGTGGCGCAGGCATTTTTTTGTAAGTGCTTCCTTTCTTGACTCCCCCCAGTGTTCACCAGAAGACGCTCGTTTTGCACCAGCCGCATTGGTCCTTTGTTGCCCGCTGCCCTGTTATATAATAAGAATTATCTTGGCAAGAGGCCCCTGCAGTGTTTTGATGTCTTGAGGTCTAAGGTCCAGAGGTGCGCAAGCAGAAGGTCTAGAGGTGTAGAAGCATCCAAACGCCTGGACTTCCAGAGATCTTGTTCTAAACCGGTAGACATTGAGAGCGATGCCTCAAGATCTACAGTCGTAGAAGGCTCTAGACCTCTAGGTCCGGTAGAGTTTAATGGTCTTGAGATCCAAGCACGTTCGGTCTAGAGGCTGAGAAAGCCTGGAGCCAGAGTTTGAGGGGTGTAGGGGCAAAGATCTAGACGCCTTGAGAACCAGAGATCCAGAGGTTTAGAAAGATCTGACAGCCAAGATCGAGGCCAGAGATTGAGCTCTTCAGGCCTGGAGTTGCAGAGGTTTGGAGGTCCAGATATTCCAGATCCATTACACCACTGTAGGCCCCAAACAGTTTGTGTTTTTCAAAATCGAAACTAGAGCTTG